AATTTTGAAAATATATGATTATTATTATCGGAAAATAAGAATGGCAGACCATTATCGCGCATTTTACTTTGTGGCAGACCACTTTGAAAATGCTAAATTGCATTGAAAATGCAAAATTTTGAAAGTAATTGACTAGATCTGCCATTGATTTAATAATATGTTGTTTATTATAGTCTTAAAAACTTATATTGATCACGGCAGACCTCTACATTGCGTACATACATCAACATATAATAAAATCTTAGCTACTACCCGGCCAGATGTATATTATGTTTTCCGTTCACTGTTTTAGAGGAATATAATTTACTTGCGATTTACTTTAGCAATGTATTTACCGAAATTAATATTTTTTTATATTCTATATACTAAACTTCATTAGTTAGACAATAAAGAAGTGAATTTTTTATGGAATAATTATAAATAATACGGTATAATGCTGATCAAAAAATAATTCAATTCCTCATTTTTATCATTCAACATTTAACTTGCCAGCTATACAATGCCAAAAAATCTAGTGATGTAGATGATGGAAGGTTCCAGCTATTCGTTAGCAACTATAAATATTCAGACATCAATGAAAATTATAGAAAAAAAAATCAAAAATTTGAGGCAAGCTCAATACCACCGCATAAGAGTGAGCTTTATCAACAACTTTTGAGGGCCCACTATATTTCTTCTATTTGGAGAAATGCTTACAAAAAGCAACTGACAACTTTAGACCCATTGGAGTATGGTTGGATTGAGCAGGACAACATATATGCCTTCAAAGGGTTCGAAGGTGACCAACTTCCATATTTTGTGAGTGACTTAATCACCAATGTTCCTGGTAAGTTGATAACAATTCTTTCTCGAACATGTTCAGATGAATTTACGTTCATTTTACAATTTATGTTTTATTTTTGCAGTATTCGATTCAATGGTTGATGAAGACGAGTCGCCTAACGATAAAGATGACTCCGATGATGATGATGATGAATGAAGATTGATATATATATATAATATGTAATGCATGCATGATATATTTTTTTAACTGATTTAACACTTTTAAATTTTGTCTTGACGAAATAAAAATGAGGAATTGAATTCTTTTTTGATCAGCATTGTACCGTATTATTTATAATTATTCCATAAAAAATTCACTTCTTAATTGTCTAACTAATGAAGTTTAGTATATATAATATAAAAAAATATTAATTTCGGTAAATACATTGCTAAAGTAAATCGCAAGTAAATTATATTCCTCTAAAACAGTGAACGGAAAACATAATATACATCTGGCCGGGTAGTAGCTAAGATTTTATTATATGTTGATGTATGTACGCAATGTAGAGGTCTGCCGTGATCAATATAAGTTTTTAAGACTATAATAAACAACATATTATTAAATCAATGGCAGATCTAGTCAATTACTTTCAAAATTTTGCATTTTCAATGCAATTTAGCATTTTCAAAGTGGTCTGCCACAAAGTAAAATGCGCGATAATGGTCTGCCATTCTTATTTTCCGATAATAATAATCATATATTTTCAAAATTTCAAAACGGCAGACGTGGTCAAATGGATTTAAAATCCGTCAAAATCGGTACCTGTCCTACCTGAGCGCTCGGCGCGTCGACCACTTTGAGCTTAGTGAGTCCCCACCTCATGCATGGTAGGTATAGGGGTCTCAATGTACGAAAATTCAGGTCTGGTCAAATACATACAGGTAGATCCCACGGGCTCTCGGGCTATTATGTTCAAGTACTCTTAATTCCGAAATTATTTGACTTAGGAACACATTATTTTTCATCAAATCGATTATTATAATAGAACACTCTGTACAGTTTTCGGCTTCAAATACCCTTTGTGGGACACCCTGTATATATCGAGGCTATGATAATGGTGCCAGTTTTTTTATTTTATTGCTTAGATGGTTGGACGAGCTCACAGCCCACCTGGTGTTAAGTGGTTACTGGAGCCCATGGACATCTACAACGTAAATGCGCCACCCACTTTGAGATATAAGTTCTAAGATCTCAGTATAATTACAACGGCTGCCCCATCCTTCAAACCGAAACGCATTACTGCTTCACGGCAGAAATAGGCAGGGCGGTGGTACCTTTTTTTTTTAACTCTGGGGAATCCATTTACGGATACCCGGTCCGGGGGGGTAACGAACCGGGTTATGTCGGACTCCGGCGCCTCCTGAGAGGAAGAGGGGGACGAGGAGGGCCAAGGTCCTCCACCTCCCCGAATTCCTCGCAGGAGACTACGCCTTGAAAAAGGCGCGCGAAGCACTTGCCCCGCAGAACGACTATCGACTAAACCCCATCGAGATCCACCACACCGGCTACATCAGACCTACGGTACCGCAGTGCGCGCCGAAAGTCCGCCTTCGCCGGTACCCGTCCTGGTGATAAAACGGGATTTCATCTCCGGGAAAATCCAGAAGGACGTCATTTCGGGAGATACACCGTGGGCGGCGCACAGGAGCCACCTTGCACCGCCCCACCACCGGAAGGGCGGTGGTACCTACCCGCGCGGACTCACAAGAGGTCCTACCACCAGTAACTAATCACTAATCCAGTTTACTCACTAATCCAGCAATCATTCGTTTTGGTTTTACAATTAGGTTAGATGTTATTCTTATGTAAGTAAAAACTGGTTGTGATACTTTAACTTCAAATCTTAAGGGGCAAGCTACGCTATATGTTAACTGAAGCTATAATAAAAACGTGTCTATAAAAACGGCCTTTACCCTCAAACAGAGGAGTTCACGCTAATCTTAACCAAAAACAAATCAAAGTTAGTTAAATAAAAATAAAAAAAAATGGTAATAATAATAGAAAAAAAAAATATATGTATAATGTAATAGATACTTTTTTATGGGTGAAATAAAAGGCTTTTTTATTTTTTATTTTATTTTATTTATAAAAACGGTGTTTTTATTGACCAAGGTCGAGTATGGAGCCGGCGCCGCGGCGCGGTAGTAGCCCGCTGAGTTTCTCGCCGGATCTTCTCAGCGGGTCGGGATTCCGATCTGGTAGTAGATTGATTCGCAGTTACTTTTGAGTGCTTAGGTCTCCTTTGGAGGCGCTCGGGTAGCTGTTAGCAAATCCCACCCCTCCTGACTGAGTCCTTGCTCGCCCACCTGTCTTGGTGAAACTAGAAAGGCCCCCGGGCAGTGATGGGCGTAACTAGTTACTTTTGTAATCTAATTAGTAATTAAACTACAAAGTAATTTAATTACAATGTAATCTGATTATATAGTAATCAATTACATTGTAATTAGAATTACTTTGGATGTGAAATTAATTGAATACAATGTATTTAATTGCAATATAACTAAATTACAATCTAACCTAATTACATAGTAATCAATTACATCGTAAATCGTAATTACTTTGAATATAACACTTGTAATAAAAACACATATTTATATATATCATACATCGATTTTTTAGATATGTAGGTTTTATGTACTTCAATAAAAATAAATAGGTAAGGCTCACTTCATAGTGAACTAGAAAGGAAGGTGTGCGGAGTGGGGGACGACTTTGCTTTTTCTTTTCGACTTTTTTTTGTTTTCGTACGCTACTATGATTAATTGTCCGAAAGCCAACCAACCGCCTGTCAGACGAAATGTTTGAAAAAAGAGTCATATTAAAAGTAATTTAAATTATAAATCAGCAAAATAATGTTGTTTAATTTAATCTGCCAATGATTAATTTAAAAAAATATCATAAAATGATAAAAAAATATAAAAAAAAGGATATAAAATGTGTTTCATTTTTGCGTTTGTCAAAAAAGTTATTAGTAGGACATTTTTTGTAAGGCTACCTAACATAACATAACAGAATAGTTATGTGATCAATTATCAGTAATTATAAGTAATTTGTTTCAAATACATAAGTAACCTGTTACAGTTAATGTAATTAGATTAACTTATAATCGAATTACTTTATAACTGATTACAATAAGTACTCACTGTAATCAGTTACTTAAGTAACCTGTTACAAAGTATCTCAATTACCAATTACAATGTAACTGTAATTTGTAATTATTAATCTGATTACTTTTTGCCCATCACTGCCCCCGGGCCACCAGTAATCCCTCAAACATAAAAAAGGGCCGGTGGTGGGGTCTACTTCCTACATAGCCACATACTGCCCCACAGTCGAGTGATTATGTGAATTTTGATTATGTTTCGAATCGGCTTATTCAAGTATACATTTTTGAATTTTAACCTTCCTTTCTTGTAGCATAGACTTCGGATGCCGATGTCGAATTTCAAATGTCATCCAGATAATACTTTTTTTTTGTCAAAATGGCGGTAGCTAATTCAGAATTGAATGAGTTTTTTGAAGCACCCAAAAATTATGTTTAGTCTTATTCCGTTTGCCTACAGTTGTGCATTTTTTAAAGAATAATCGGATAAGAATTCGCCATTTTTACACGTGTAAACAAAAAAATTACACAACATTAATTTTTCACTTTTCCCTCCATTTTTTTAATGGATTTTATGACCTGGTAACTAAGACCATTAGGTCATGTCTTATTTTAATTTATATTCATATTTTTATGAAAAATGATAATATGGAGTGAAATGAAATGAAAATGACTAATTTCAAACATTAATTAACTGGGATGAAATTAAATAAGATGATATGGGATGAAATATAATCTCAGTAAAATGGTGCCCATTTACTGAGATTTTTTCAGTGGACTTTTTGGAGGATCCAGCGGCATTGTTTCATTTTCCCACATTTGTGCACTTTCACAGATATAAAACAGTTAATAAACCACCGCTATTACACATTTAAACCTGAAGAAACACTAAATAGACAAAATAAAACAAATCGCACAACTCCTTCCTCGCGGTCCCGCCAAAAAGTCATTTTTCCCTCCAAAAAATCCGCAGCCATAGATTATACAATTGGAGCCAGAACGCGTTTTTTTTTGGAGGCTGTGACTAGCCAAGCAGATCATAGCGCATCATATCTTCATGTTGATCAGTCAGTTTATTATAATTAGCCTACACGCAAACAGAGCGACTCAATATAAATCTGCGACCATAACATTTTTGTGATACGAACCAACTCGACGTCGCCTTCACTTAATAAAACCACTATATACATATTTATTTACATAAATGTAAGTTTTTATTATTGATTTTTTACGTACTAACGCGTGTACTTATCTAGTATATTTATAGATGCTTAAGTGATTTTTCTATTATATATATGTGTATATTAAATTGCTTCAAATCAACACAGATATATATTTTTTAATTATTTAGTGTTTTTTTTTTTAATAATGAACTCGCAAACGTAATTATTTTCTGGTTAAAAGGAGTTCGATCTCATTACAATATTTAATAGTGTAATTCCTTGAATACATATTATATATATTTTCCAGTGCTTATAGATGGGCTTACAGTTATAGTTTGATCCTTCAAACTTGAAACATCGCAATACGCTTCTCTGTGTATCATCTGTGCTCCGAGGTTTCATATCATCATAATAATATTATGGCTTAAAGGACCTTGATTCCAAGACAGTAAAATTTATTAAAAAAAAAAAATTATTATATTATTACGTTTGTAATTCTATTAAAAGAAAATGCGCACATATTCGACGTAAAAATTACTACTTGTCATTCTTCAACTCATAAATTGTCATAATTTGTTCCGCGGTTACCAGTATGCTAATTAATGCATACCCATAGACACAGTCCACTGAGTTTTTCACCGGATCTTCTCAGTGGGCTGCGGTTTCGTTTTCATCTGCGGGTATGTATTTTTAAACGAGGTCTGAATAGTATTTCCCTCCTCATTGCTGATGTCCGTTGGCATCGGTGACCAGTCACTATCACATATGCCGAATGCTAGTCTGCCTTCGAAGATAAAAGAGAATTATTAAAATTTAAAATGAATTTCATCTGGACTTTAGGCATTGGGTTGTTCGAATTCATTGTAATAAACTTACTGAACTTAATTACTTTACTTTAATTACTAAATTTACTGAACTTAATTACTTACTTAATTACTAAATTTACTTTACGTTTCACATTATAATATAATTAGTTTACTTAATTTTTCACAAACTTTAATTCTCACTTAATCAACCTCAATGAAGAGGTTCTTAACATAGACCGTACGTTTGTTTATTTACAATCTTGCTTCGAAACAGCCTTAGTATTTAAAAACGTTCTGATTTGGTATTTTTTTTTTATATACAAATTTTTCTGTTATTAATTTCATTACGTAAGCATGTATTAATTGTAGGGGATTCAGTAAAATAAGTTTGATTCAAGTGTAGATCAGATATACACTTACTTCTTCTGAACTACGTAACCAGTATGTGCCCACTGATATTTTCATTCTTTTTTTTATTGCATTTATGTGTGGACGAACGAGCTCACAGCCCACCTGGTGTTAAGTGGATACCGGCGCCCATGGACATCTACAGCCGCCATCCACCTTGAGATATGAGTTCTAAGGTCTCAGTATAGTTAGAACGGCTGCCCCATCCATCAAACCTAAACGCATTACTGCTTCACGGTAGAAATAGGCAGGGTGGTGGTACCTACCCGTGCGGACTCACAAGAGGTCCTACCACCAGTAAGATATAGTGTACGTGAGTTTATTAATTATCATTATAATATTGTGCCAACCACCGCTTAATTATCTATTATAAATTTATATAAAATGTAATGATTTACAGCTTGAACAATGTCACAGGCTGTGAAGGCAATTACTTTAGAAGATGAATACAAGAAGAAGACAGGTATCACACCGGAAGACGTTAGGAAGATGAGGCAGTGGCTTCAGACTCAACCCCATTTGCCAAGAGATCATTTAACTGGTAAGCTTTTTTATAATCTATACTAATATTATAAATCTATAGTCTATAGTAATATTATAAAGAGGAAAGATTTGTTTGTTTGTATTGAATAGGCTCCGAAACTACTAACCGATTTGAAAAATTCTTTCACTGTTTGAAAGCTACACTATTCCCAAGTGACATAGGCTATAATATTTTTTGAAAAAAATTAGGGATCCTTACTAAAACTCCAATAATGTAACCCAAGAAGCAAAAAAAATCCCTAAAATATTCTTTACATCGCGTGTCCTGCGAAAACTATTGATGATAGAATAATGTACAACGACTTTGTAGAACACATTATTATTTATAAAAAGTGTCGCGACAGCAAACTAACTCGTCAGCTTTATAATATTAGTATAGATAATAATAATATCTATTAAAAAAAAAAAATAATAATAATAAAATATTTAGACCTGGCCCATGACACTACCACCATGTGGCAAGTTGACTCAACCATCATTGTTCCAATAGTTGTTTCGGTACACGGTTTGATGGCGAAAAGTTTCGATAAACATCTTAAGAAACTTTAGTTATCCAGCTGGGTTAGGGGCCTGATACAGAAGGCAGGTATTCTCGGTACTGCGCGTATTGTGAGGATGTTTCTCACTCTGTAGTCCTAGCCACTGGTGGCTTGTGTCGATAATACCGCTATCCGCGGCAATCTATTTTTATATAGTGTTTTTTTTAAATTGTATTAATAAAGATTTAAAATAAATGTAGTAGAATAACAACAATACCTAATCATAATAATATAAAATATCAGTGCCAAGTCTTTTTTCGTTTGTCATCACTAAGTTTTTGTTCAAGTAGCTATTGAAAATGTCGGTTTTATTATTATCATTGTCGTTTTCAACAAGTTTTTAAATATTTTACAATTCTCTTGGTCACGGACGATCAAGGTGTTGTTATTTCGTCGACATTTGAGTCTTGAACGTCGCAATTCTTATTAAAACACTTCTTGACATTTACAAATGATTGTTAAAAGAAAAATATTAACTTTAAAAAAAAAATTTTTTTTTTTCTATGAATGGACGAGCTTACAGCCCACCTGGTGTTAAGTGGTTACTGGAGCCCATAGACATCTACGGCGTAAATGCACCACCCACCTTGAGATATAAGTTCTAAGATCTCAGTATAGTTACAACGGCTGCCCTACCCTTCAAACCGAAACGCATTACTGCTTCACGGCAGAAATAGGGGGAGTGGTGGTACCTACCTGTGCGAACTCACAAGAGTTCCTACCACTAGTAATTACGCAAATTACAATTTTGCGGGTTTTTGATTTTTATTATACGATGTTATTCCTTCACCGTGGAACTCAATCGTGAACATTTGTTGAGTACGTATTTTCATTAGAAAAATTGGTACGCGCCTGAGATTCGAACACCGGTGCATCGCTCAACACGAATTCGAAACACCGGACGTCTTATCCTTTAGGCCACGACAACTTTTTCATATAATATTCCCACCAAAGTGGAGCCAACTGTAGTTTGAAATCTTCAATTTAAATACTGGATTCACGCCAGTCCAAAGCGAAGTCACTAAACGATTATTGACCCAAGACGTCCTAACTCCAGTAAGCAGGATCTTCAAGAATCTTTATTGTGAATCCAAGTCGTAATCAAATACATTCAATTGTTTTTAAGACGAGAGTTGGTTACGGAAAACAAAAAGACAGGTTTTTCATATACAAATTCCAAATTAAATGTCATCAAAATTGTCGAATATAAATATATTTTAGCTCTCCAAATTAAAAAAAAATCCGTTCGTAAATAGGAATATTGCTTTGATAATTATATTTAAATGTGTGCAATAGTCAAACAAAACGAGATAGAGTTGCTGTGATTTGAAATGTATATTTGTATTTTTATTTTCTTACACTATTTAACATATTATATTAAATTATATAAATTTCCGTGTTCATTGTATTTCATTGGCACATGCATATGATGACTCTAAAAATCTAGTGGTAGATTCCATCACAATATTGTGTTCAGATTGTGTTCAGATGAAAAAGGTTAAAAAGGAAAAAGGTCGTGGCCTAACGGATAAGACGTCCGGTGCATTCGTGTTGAGGGATGCACCGGTGTTCGAATCCCGCAGGCGGATACCAATTTTTCTAATGAAATATGTACTCAACAAATGTTCACTATTGATTTCCACGGTGAAGGAATAACATCGTGTAATAAAAATGAAACCCGCAAAATTATAATTTGCGTAATTACTGGTGGTAGGACCTCTTGTGAGTCCGCACGGGTAGGTACCACCACCCTGCCTATTTTCTGCCGTGAAGCAGTAATGCGTTTCGGTTTGAAGGGTGGGGCAGCCGTTGCAACTATAATTGAGACCTTAGAACTTATATCTCAAGGTGGGTGGCGTATTTACGTTGTAGATGTCTATGGGCTCCAGTAACCACTTAACACCAGGTGGGCTGTGAGCTCGTCCACTCATCTAAGCAATAAAATAATATATTTTATTATAATTATAATATAATTATTATATATATTAATTAATTATGGATATTAGGAAACAAATTTTAATCATACACGTCATCCGGCTCCAATTTAGAATTCCCTGTGTTATGGGTACCAGAGATTGATAAACATACTTATATACGTTTAAATATATACATATATATATAATAAAGACTTCCGATAACAAGGGTCTGTTATCCAAAGGGACGGTGAACTGGATCGTACTGTGAGGCACAGAATTGACGCAGGATGGATGAAATGGCGGCAGGTCAGGGGCATCACATGTGACTCACACATTCCTCTTCCCCTAAATGGGAAGATATATAAGACCTTAATAAGGCCTGTCGTCTTGTATGGATCAGCTTGTTGGACAACAAAAGTGGCGGATGAAAGGCGATTGCATGCAGCAGAGATGCGAATGTTGCGATGGATGTGTAGAGTAACGAGAATGGATAGAATACGGAATGAATATGTTAGATGAAGTCTGAAAGCAACACCTGTGACAGAGAAGCTGAGAAGTGCGCGTTTGGGATGGTATGGACATGTGATGAGACGAAATGAAAATGAGGTTGGTAAGAAAATGTTAACTATGAATGTGGAAGAATATAGAGGAAGAGGTAGACCTAAGAATAAATGGATGGATTGCGTGAAAGACGATATGGGTAAGAGGGGAGTGAGCGAAGAAATGGTATATGCTAGAAGAGTATGGAAGGAGAAAACATGTTGCGCCGACCCCAGGTGACTGGGAGAAGGGCAGGATAATGATTATGAATGATGATATATAATAAACAGCCAGATAAAGAGCAAACAAACCTGTTCATCACAAAATGTTTGCGAGATGTAGGAATCGAATCCACGACCCTCGGTGCGACATTCAGGGCTACTAACTACTGCACCACTGAGTCAGTTAGACGTTTAGGAGTGTTTTTTTTATATTTTTAAACTATACATTTATTTTTTTGTAAACAAATGCGTATTTGTAAAGTTTTGCTTGTATGTATTTACTTATGTATATTTTACACTTAACTATTCGCGCCAGTGTCTGACAATTAGCTCAGTCTTCACTAATCTGTTCACGACATAAACCCAGCACATGTATCCTTAGAAAGGTCTTTGAACCTAGTACAGACTTCAGCTCTTACAAAGGCTAACAACAAACGTACGAAATGAATTATAAGGCTAATCTCTGTTTACAAGGGATACCCTTAAGAGAGAAATAAATAAATATTAATATTATTGTTACGCACTGTGGGCTATAAATAAAAGCTCTACCGAAGTATAAATTAAAACTGTATTAGCACTTAGAACACTTAAAACACTAATCGAACACTTTAAAATTCTCAATTCGCTTTTTCCGCTTCGCTTCAGGTGATCTGTTCGCTGTTTCGCTTCGAATAGTTACGATTACTCACTGACTTCGTGTCATCTCTGCAACGCGTTTATAGTCGATACGACATCCCTAGAATTATCGAGAACATTCCTCAGAGTTCGAGTATTTTCGATATGCGCTTCCGCCATTTGACAACAGATGGCGTTGTACTTCTCGGACGTTTTCGATGTCACTAGTTCCTTTGATATTCGTTTCTGCTATTCGGCGATAGATGGCGTCACTCTTACTGGCACAACATTAATGTTATTATTATAATTCTACAAATAAATACCACGGTTATGAATACACGACATCGTATTGAAGTTCAATAATTGATGAATCAGCATAGGCTACCTACTCAATAGGTCACGGACGCTTCGTAGCAAATACGAAGGGAAAACGACAGAGAAGATCTTCAAGCGTGTGCTATACTGACAGTCTAAACTTATACATAAACAAATCTATCTTACAAAAAAGGGCCGTCTGATCCATTGTAAATATTTATATAGAGTCAAATTAAAATTGTTGTTGTATAAAAACTGGATAAACATGTCTGTAATAAAATGAAGAGTCATTACTTCCTAGTTCAAGCGAGTTATTGACGTAATTCGCAAGTCGCACAAGATTCGGATACAACGTTTAACTACTCAATAATTTCGCAAGGAATAAACTGTAGTTTTTTCGGAAATTCAATTTTCATCACAGAACTTCCGAAGTAAAAATATTATTGACGCTTATTGATAGAAGCTCTGACATATTATGGATTCGTGATTTTAATTTAAATAAAAATCAAGAGATGATAATTAGGTACGTAATACGTAAAACTTCTAATGAAGCAATTTTTTGTTGGAATTAAAGATTTAATGGGAAATGGAAATGGTCGACCAGCTGGGACACCACGGACTTTCATGGCAGCGTAGTCCAGGATACATTTCCTGGCACTCCAACCAGACACAGACATCCAACCGACACCATCCGTCGGACTCTTACCACCGCTGATCTTCCATCTTCAATTTCACTGGTGGTAGGACCTTTTGTGAGTCTACACGGGTAGGTACCACCACCCCGCCTATTTCGGCCGTGAAGCAGTAATGCGTTTCGGTCTGCTGAGGCTGGAGCGGCCGCTGCTACTGCAGAAAACCTAAAGCGGCCCAAATATATTAACATCGATAGAGGTTTCATATTTGAGCTGTTTGGGGTACAAACTTTGGGTTTCTTTGGTCCTAGTGCACACCGCCTTTTTAATGAGGTAGCAAAGAGGTTGACCGAAACATCTGGTGACCAGAGGGCTGGCTTATACCTTGCACAGAGGTTAAGCGTTGCCATATAATGTGGGAATGACATCCGCCTTCTGGGCACGGTGCTAAGCGATGACGGTTTGGCACTGTTATATTTTTTGTAAATATTTTCTAAGATAGCTATTATATTGTAAATATTTCTCTTTTTAGTTAGGTTGTATATGTTGTTATATGTATTTGCTTTTTAGTTAGGTTGTATATGTTGTTGTTGTATACATGTTGTTAGGTTATATTATGTATAGAAAATTCTGAAAATAAAGTTTCACACGATACCTAATTTCCTTATGAGTATAATTTTACACCAATATTTAAATATATACCTACTTAACATTTCACGTGACTTCGGAATTCCCAAGGTTAAATAAATTATTTTGCTTTATTCATTAGTCATGGTGCGTGTTCTGCCTCTTTGGCTAAAACATATTAATTATACATGTGTCAACGAAAATTTTATTTCAATATAATCGTAGTGTTTCGACTACCATACTTGAAGCTTATTTGGTAAAATTATATTATGACTAAAAAATATGACTTTAACACATAAGTATTAAATGTTAATTTACGGGAATACCGGACACCGTCCTGGTCGAATTTGTCTATTACGACGAAGAGTTTGATGAGCGAAAAAACCCATAGAACCAACCCACTGAGTTTCTCGTCGAATCTCCTTAGTCGCGATTCCGATCCAGGCGTAGATACTGCGAAGCACTGCTCTTGCCAGGGCTAGTGTTAGCAAATTTTCTCAAGTTGAGCCTGTGAGCTCACCTACCCGGCCGCGAGAAGCTGAATTAGCTCTTTTAGGCTACCAACAAATAAGTAGGAAAGATACGGGAACAATGTAAGTCTTAAAAGCATATTCCAACACATTTTACGCTACTTTTTAATGTTTTGTTCGCGTAATTAAATTTGGCGTCACGCAATCTTGTAAAACTAGCATAATAATATTATAATATTTAGCTATCCGATATAGATATGATGATAAAAAAATAGGAAAAGATCGTACTGGTATCGAAATTAAATCGTTACGTCTAAATGACACACGATTACATGTAGTTACATAATTACGTACTATCATCTCGTTTACAGGCTAATTGTAGATGACATTCAGTTCTTTGTGATTGTTTCTACAACTACCTTCCATTACCATGTTTTGTTGTCTAATCACACCAGACATGTGTTTATCATTGGAGCCCGGTCACATTCCTGACTGATTCTTGCTAACGCCACTTTATAGGGCTGAGGAAACCCAGTGAATGAAGGAATTCATTCCCAAACCCGATGCCGCAAGACTAAAGTGATATCTGGAAATGCACTATGGATGAACGAATGAGTATAATCAAAAACAAAAACAACAAAAATTACAAACAAGTAATAGCAGATTGGTTTTCGCATTTTCAATTTTGATCTTTTATATGATTCGATGTCACGTCTTAAGATGTGCATGCGACAATAATTAACAACATTACGTTAATTATTGTTGTCATCAACATTAAGTCGTGAGGGATGCAACAATAATAGAAAACCCACTGAGTTTCTGGCCGGATCTTCTCAGTGGGTCGCGATTCCGATCCAGAGGTAGATTCAGCGAAGCACTGCTCTTGCTTGGGCCAGTTTTGGCAAACTCTCTCAGGTTGGGGCTTTTTGGGGCTTGTTGGGATTTTACGATACAAAAACTATAAGTTATCTGGGAGGCATGTTTTTGCTTCGTGACTCTAATCTTCACAACCATGTATACACAATTTTATTTTTGCTTAGATGGGTGGACGAGCTCACAGCTCACCTGGTGGCTACTGGAGCCCATAGACATCTGCAATGTAAGCTCGCCACCAACATTGAGATATAAGTTCTAAGGTCTCAAGTATAGCTACAACGGCTGCCCCACCCTTCAAGTTGAAACTGCTTCACGGCAGAAATAGGCAGGGCGGTGGTACCTACCTGTGCGGATTCCCAAGAGGTCCTACCACCAGTAATTACGCAAATTATAATTTTCATAATTTTCAAAAGTTTTACTTTGTTCTCGTAGATATGGACCTCATTCTCGTCTACCACTGCTGCCACAGAAGCATGGAGGTCTCCAAGCAGGTCCTTGACCTCAACTGCACGTTACGTACGCTGTTCACAAATTTGTTCAAGGATAGACTTCCTGATGGGAGGACTTTGGACAGCATGAAAGTTTCGTAAGCCATACTTTAGCTACTGCTGTGTTTAATGGGTTTCTACGTGCATAGTCCGTTTTAGGCAATCATTTACAACGTAATATCTTCTTTGAATTCGCTCGCGTGTCCTGAACATCATTAAAACTACTTATAGAGGTTAATCTCCCGTTTTTTTTTGTCATTATTATATGATATTCGACTCATCGAGTACTTTACAGATTTCGCGTTCACGGATTTTCTTGTTTTTTTTTGTCAATGCTGAGCCAAGTGAATGGCCTCAGTTTTCCAAGTCATTCAATCCCGTTTTTGCAGGATAGCCGTCGAAGGCCCGTGGTTCGTCAGGAACGTCGACCTCCATGACGACCTGGACTTAGAGTCCATCAGTAAGTATCTGCAGTCGGCGTCGATGCGCCACTTCGATCACTTCGATAAAGCGGCACGACACGAGAACCCTCTCATCGTGGCCGCCGGTAACTACATTCCCGATCCTGCGGAAAGAATGGAAAGCAGTCGACGTCGCCCCAAACACGTCATTTCGGATCCTCCGGATCCACTAACGGTGCTTTTAGGTACCTCAAGCACCGGTCACCGTTCCCGTCGAACCCGTCGCTTGCGACGAAGGGCTTGTCGAGTAAATTAGCCCTCAGACACAGCCCACTGAGTTTCTCGCCGGATCTTCTCAGTGTGTCGCGTTTCCGATCCGGTGGTAGATTTTGCGAAGCACGGCTCTTGCTAGGGTTCGTGTTAGCAACGTCGTCAGGTTTGAGCCCCGCGAGCTCACCTACTAGTTAAGGTTACGCTGAAATAGCCGCTCAAGGCTAAGGTAGGAAAAAAAATGCCTCAGTCAACCATGAGACACGTGTTCTATAAGTCATGTAAGTTCAATAAGTTGTCGTGGCCTAATGGACATTATGTCCGGTATATTCGTATCTTGCGATGCACCGGTGTACGAATCCCGCAGGCGAGTACCAATTTTTTTAATGAAATACGTACTTAACAAATGTTCACGATTGGTTTTCACGGTGAAGTAATAACATCGTAGTCATAGGACGTATTGTGAGTCCGCACGGATAGGTACTACCACCCTGCCTATTTCTGCCGTGAAGCAGTAACGCCTTATACTGTAAACGGGATACTTTGGAGAAACGGAGACTGGTTTGGCCTGCGAAGGTCAAGTTGGAATAATAAAAAAACATGTGTGCAATTCACACATTATAGAAGTGAAACCTTCAAAAATGTTTGGCTTCAAGGGAATGAGACGAATGTAAAATTTCGGGAAGAGGATAATTGTAGGTTTTAGTAATGATCATAGTGAATAGTGATACAAAGCTTGATAATAATTTTACATTTTATTCGTATATATTACATAAATTTATTCAAAATGTACAAAAGGTACGAATATTAGGTACGAAGCAGAGCCCAAAGAGAACCACGAATATACGAAACACTGTTTAATGCTTCCTATCTCATTTTCTCCCACGTTAAATCTTATGAATTTATGTGTCTGTCTCTTTTTAATGTCGCTTTTTCGTTTCATCGACTTTCGAATCATAACGATGCTAAAGAAGTTTTCACTTGAATTTTTTTCCGGTTTCCTTTTATTTTAGTAATTACCTTATTTTCAAAGTATGCTTTTGTTTTAGTTTGGTGCTGCCGTTAGAAGTTCGAGCGTATGACGACTCTGCAGTTATATATTGCAGGCTCATGGATTTTAACCCCAAAAACTTGATATTCCAGGAAGCTATCAAGTAATCTTTGTTATTTTTTTTCTTTTTGTTTTGTGATAAATTTAAAAATTACCTACGGACTTCAGTTCATTGTTTTACACGATACATAGACGTCGTGGCCTAAAAGATAAGGCGCCCGGTGCGGTGCTTTCGTATCGACAAAGTCAATTGTGTCGGTGTTCGAATCTCGCAGGCGGGTACCAATTTTTCTAATGAAATATCTACATACTTATCAAATGTACACAAACGACTTCCGCGGTGAAGAAATAACATCCACCAATAAAAACTCGCATCCGTTAAAAAATGCCCGTAACTGCAATTGAGACATAGACCTCAAGTCTCAAGGTGGTTCACGGTAATTACGTCTATAGGTTCCGGTAACCACTTAACACAAGGTTGGCTCATGGCCCAATCAATCCTTTCTGTAATAACAATTATCAATTTGGCAAGTATATATCTAAATAAATTTGTTGATAACTAATTATTATTTATATATAATTTGTTCCTAATTTAATTTGTTTTAGCAGAGCCATATTTGTCTGAATGCTGTGTTTACTTGATATTAACAAAGTACACATACTAAGAATCATTTATTACTCTACTAATAATATTTGTATTCATTATAATTTGTTGGAAAACCGAAATAGATAAACAAGAACCAATATGACTGGATAGTATTCGAATTTATTAATAAAACGACATGAGTCAGACTTTAGTGTGTAGTAACGTCCTGACGGATCCATCAGATCCAATAACCCTTGCATTAGATGCACGACTCTAAAACTAGGACCCGAGTAATCGTACTCCTCGAACTCGGCAAGGACTTCGACGTGCAACCAAACCTAAGCATCAACTCGCTGAGTTTCTCGCCGGATCTTCTCAGCGGGTCGCGGTTCCGATCCGGTAGCAGATTCATTTACGAAACAGCTGTTCTTAAGTTGTTATGTCTTCTTTGGAGGCGCTCAGGTAGCTGTTAGCAAACCCCGCCCCTTCTGGCTTAGCGTTTGCTCGCCCACCTGTCCTGGTGAAATCGGAGAGGCCTCCGGGCCACCAGTAATACCTCATTTATAAAAAAAAAGTTCTAAGTTTTGAATGGAAACTGTCATAATGCATACGATTTTAGATTCGCCCTCATGGGTAAGAGAAGGTGGCCGTATTCACACTTGATTCTATCTCTAATTCTATCTAATTCTTCTAATCTTCAGAGGCACTTCTGCTGTTTTGAAACTTAACGTTATATCATTAGGAACATACTAGATATATTTTATATCTGACTTATGGAGGTCTCAAATGAATCAATATGGACTTTTTGGTTACAGGATAGTATTGATGGTGATAGACCTCTGGCAATACCAGTCGGGGACTTGGCCAGGGCTAGTCATAGTTATTGACTTGGAAAAGATCACGCTATCCCATCTGGCCAGACTCGATATTCAAACTGTTCAGCAGTTTCTATTTTATTTGCAGGTAAATTCGATTCAGCTTATGTAGTTATTGTCATGTTTTTTTAACTACATTTAAAACCCTACCTAATCGCTAAGATAGCATAAGGGGCCAACTAAGCTTGGACGGGTATGTGAGCTCACCTGAGACAATTGCTAAAACTAGCTAATCGTAAAAATCTATTAAGCTTTTGAGTTATTGAAAGTTTGTTCCGACAACTTTGAGGACGCATTGTTTTTTACTAAAATTTTAGTATTGGCAAAATCGGGGTAAGATCCGGTTAACTAATAGTATTCATACTAAGTCTTGTTCGATTTCTTCATCATTACATCACGTAGGACCGTAACATTACCCAGAAAACAAAGATAAAACTGGTGCACACTCTGGTCTTTTTCATTTTTCTATACTGAGCCTGGACCCTTAAAGCGGCTGAGCGCAAACGTGTGGTTGCTTTTGAGATGTGGTGCTGGAGAAGAATGCTCCGGATACCTTGGACAGCTAAGAGAACCAACGTGTCTATCTTAGACCAACTGAAGATTAAGACAAGACTGTCTACACTCTGTCTTCGCCGCGCACTCGAGTACTTCGGTCATATTGCTCGGAAAAAAACCCTATAGCCTAGAGAGACTTCTTATTCGTGGCAGAAAAGATCGAGGGAAAGAGACCGCGCGGGCACGGTCCGACAAGGTGGTTCGACCAAATCCGCGCCACACTAGAGATCCCATTCCACGAAGCCCTTCAACAGCCAAAGCGCTGGAAGGACATTATAAGAAGTAAAATCCTGTCGACTTATGATGGTTACGACCCACAGCAGCGAGGAAACGACCCGAGGAAAGGACTTCACGTAGTCTTATATATTTCATGGTTTTCATCTAAAATAAGTCTTACTTAATTACATTTTTAGGAAGCGATGTTCGTCAAACTCCAAGGCCTACACTTCATGAATGCGCCATCATTCATGGACCGTTTGTTGATGATTCTGAAGCCGTTTATGAAGAAAGAACTCATTGACATGATGGTTATCCACCAGATAGGTTCCAAGACGATCGGCAAATATCTTCCGATTGAGGGACTGCCTAAAGAAGCAGGAGGAGAGTACAAACCGTTTGAGGAAGCTCAAGGTATTTAAATTTCTCATTTCATTTATTATTAACTACCAGACTTATTCAAAACAGATTGAGAACCGCTTAGCACAAATACAAACGTAAATTCCAAAATAGCTTCAACAGTAGACACGTCATTTCCAGTTCGCCAATGACGAACAGTTTAAATTCAAACTGTTTTTTCCCCACTTTTACCAGACAAATGGACTATTACAAAAAAAGAATGCTAAAATAATATATAGTATAAAAAAGAAAAAGACGATTAAATAGAAACAACGCGCTAGCAATAATCAGCTCGTTTCTTATTTGATAATATTGGTCAGGACATTAGAACGAAGTTAAATAAAATTATTGTTTTGTCATCGGTCCTCGATGCGCGTGCAAATTTTCAAGTTAATCGGAAGCTAATCTTGAACGTAAAAAGCTAATGAGAGCGTGTTAAAAAGACAGATTGGTACAGTTTAAATGAATCTAGACCTTTAAGAGGCAGTGTTTACAGTCAAATTAAAAAAAAAGATGTACGTGGTGTCGTGGGATACCGAATAGGAACAAAGTTCCTTATTATAAAAATATTAATTTAAAGTTCTATTCGAGGTATAAAGAAAATAAAACTGGAGGTTTCGCAACAACCCACGGTCATTCGGTAACGTGCGAACTTATTGTGGTACACTTCATTCACGGTTGTTTGCATAAGAGTTAGTGTATTGCGCAAACGAACGCTCTGAGATCGTGGTCAATCAATGATAAAAAAATATATTATTTTTTGTACCTTATTACAAAGTTAAGCCGTACACTGTGTGCATTGCTAATAAAAATCTTACGTTACGGACGTTTTTTTCCGGTTAAAGTACCCCTCCGCATCGTCCCATAAGGAACTTCGTTCCAAAACGAATAAAGATCGATTAAAACATGAATTTGTTTACAGCGGACGTCATTGCTAATGCCAAAGCGAATTACGATTATTTTGCTGAGGAGAACAAGAAGAGGGTAGTGGAATCGCTGAGGCCCGGGAAACCGAAGACAATCACAGACATATTCGGAGGGATAGAGGGATCGTTTAAAAAATTAGAAATAGATTAATAAAATATTTGCCAAATTTGTTTGTTTCAATGCTAGTAATATTAGTAATACCAATAGCCTTGCATTGACCACTCTTTGTTCTTACTAATATATAAAGATCGGTTAGGTGGTTGGTGGAGAGTGGTCACCGTCAATGGTGAGTATCAGCAACGCCAGGAGTATCGCCAAGGTCCTGGTTACCATAGACCCTTATCGAATCTCGATTTATGATCAATAACTTTACATAGCGCTCGATAAACTCCGATTTACTCTAAGATTTGCGCACGCAACAAGTTTTTATTTTTTATTGCTTAGTTGGGTGGACGAGCTCACAGCCGACCTGGTGTTAAGTGGTTACTGGTGGTGGTGGAGCCCATGGACATCTATAACGTAAATGCGCCACCCACCTTGAGCTATAAGTTCTAAGGTCTCAAGTATAGTTACAACGGCTGCCCCACCCTTCAAACTGAAATGCATTACTGCTTCACGGCAGAAATAGGCAAGGGGGTGGTACCTACCCGCGCGGACTCACAAGAGGTCCTACCACCAGTAAAGAATAGTATTAGAACGTTGTTGATCAATCTATTTCAAAGGATTTCAGTATCAGCCAGAAGGGATGGGATTTGCTAACAGCCCCAGGAACGCCTCCGGAGGGGACCGAACAACTCAAGAGTAGCTGCTTAGTAAATGAATCTGCTACCGGATCGGAATTGCGACCCGCTGAGAAGATCCGCCGAGAAACACAGCGGGCTGATGCATGGGTTAGGTTGCATGTCGAACTCCTTGTCGAGTTCGACGAGTACGGTTACCGGGGTCCCTAAGCCTGCTCCTTGTTTTAGAGTTGAATGCGTCTAGTGCGAAGGTTAGCGGATATGATGGACTGTGACTGGCTCCTGCGTGATCAGGATTCGGTGGATAGTCAGCGGCGGCAACGTTAAGGCGATTATCATGACACTAAGGCCTTATCGAAGTAAATTATTATGTTGAATACGCTTATTCCTCGTTGGTAATCTCAAGGTATTTCAATAGTTTACAATCTAATCATTCGTAATTTCATATCTTTATTGATTTTATTTTTCTAGTATATCATAGGTAGATTGACGTATCCTATCATATCATGCGTTGAAGATCTTTAAAATTCCAAAGGTAATTTTTAATGCTTCAAATGGTTTAAGGGCGGCCTTTCTGTGACGTCACTTTACTTTGTCTATGCTCGTATAAAACAGGACATAGATTGCTGTAGATGAGACCATCGTCTTAAACGTTCGCTGGAGTTCAAGAGAAACGTAAATTCCGGAATCCACTTTGAGACAGACGAACTATGAGATCGTCTGGTCCCGTAGGAAATCGAAAATTTAACACCACAATCCACATTACCAAAACAATGCCGACTATGTTTCATAGGGAATTTAAAAAACTTAAGTCATACAAAAAATTTAATTACGATAATTTAAACAAACGAAAACACAATTCTAGAATGCATTGCATTTATTACATGCATTGCATTTATTACATGCATTGCATTTATTACATGCATGCATACATTATTATAAAATTATTACATCTCTTCATCTGAGCAGCAGCATTCCATTGTCGGAGACGTAGTTCGAGCCAGTTATGCTTCTAGCTTTGTCACTTGCCAGGAATAACATCAACTCGGCAATTTCTGACGGTTCTCCTAATTTCTTCAACGCCGTGGCAGCCCTAAAAATGTCCCAGCTAATCTGATTATCAGAGTTCTCAATGATATCAGTTAAAACAGGACCTGGACTGATGATGTTTGCTCTGACACCATGAGGTGCTAATTCCAAGGCAATACCACGCGTAAAATGATTCAAACTAGCTTTCCCCATGCAGTATGCCAGAAACCCTGGCATTGGTACCATGGTTCCGCCGATACTGGATACGTTTATGATGTTTCCCTTCGTCTCGATGAGGTGCGGAGCCGCGAGGCTCGTTATCAAAATTACCGCTCTCAGATTAGTCGCTGTGACTGCGTCGTACGATTCAAGGAGGTTGCCAGCGAGCAGGGACCCGGATTTGTTCATTCCAGCGTTGTTAATGAGCACATCTAGCTTCCCGAAGGTTTCAATGGTTTGTTGAACGATGATCTTCGCTTCTTCGTCTTTTGAAATGTCAGCTTTAATGATAAGCGGCTTTTTGCCGACTTGCGCACATTCCCGGGCCACGTTGTCCAGTTTCGTAACGTTACGACCTACTATGGCCACGTCGGCACCTTCCTTAGCGAAGTGTACGGCGGCAGAGGCACCGATACCCGAGCTGCCGCCGGTGACGAGAACCACTTTATTTGTGAAACTCATAACGTCTACTCCGTGCAAGGTCCCTGCGTAAACTGAATGGTATTTACTGACACGACAAAACGTTCGCCTCTTCCTTATCTATTACAAACAAGCGAGATGACGAGTCGAATAGTGGAAACTATTTATAAATACGCCCTAACATAATAATATACGACATGATATATGCATGTCAATAAACGTTGTGGTTCTAATAGGTTTTTTTTTGTTAAATGTAAATTGTAAAGCTAGACAGTAATTGAAGGTCATTTAAAATGTTCAATTATTTTAGATGGTTTTTTTTTAATTTCACGTCCTCTTCCGCTTCTGGTTGATTTTTATGGCCCACCTGGTATTAAGTGTTTTTTTTTTCCTAGATCTTTGGACGAGCTCACAGTCCACCTGATGTTAAGTGGTTACTGGAGCCCATAGACATCTATAACGTAAATGCGCCACACACCTTGAGATAGAAGTTCTAAGGTCTCAGTATAGTTACAACGGCTGCCCCACCCTTCAAACCAAAAACGCATTACTGCTTCACGGTAGAAATAAGCAGGGCGGTGGTACCTACCCGCGCGGACTCTCAAGAGGTCCTACCACTAGTAATTACGCAAATTATAATTTTGCGGGTTTGATTTTTATTACACGATGTTATTCCTTCACCGTGGAAGTCAATCGTGAACAATTGTAAAGTACGTATTTCATTAGAAAAATTGGTACCCCCCTGCGGGATTCGAACACCGTTGCATCGCTACGAATGCACCGGACGTCTTATCCTTTAAGCCACGACGACTTCTAAAGTTGTCACCGAAGCCCATAGACATCAAACAACTACTTCGAGACATGAGTTTTAAGAGTCATTTTTTGTAGTGCAACGGCTGCCCAACCATTCCAAACGAATCGCATTACTGCTTCACGGCAGAATTATGTAGGGTGGTAGTACATGCCCGTGCGGACTTACAAGACGTTCCATTACCAGTTTTTGGACCAAAACGAACTTAATAAGAAAGCTTGCTATGGATCTTAATAAGGATTTTATTGTTCGTTTGAGGTCGTGTTAAACTAATACACAACAATTGAACCAACAAACAAACAAACTGTTGCAAATGATGTGACAATAAAAACCAGCAGCGTAACGACTAGTTCTTTTATTTGTGCGAGAATGCAGAAAGCAGGTAGAAATGGCTGGCATGGCTTGTTTTATTAACACTATCCCCCCTTCGTTGGCTATGGCTGGCGGCGGCGGCGGTGGCTGTGGCGGAAGGGGGCGTGTTAACATGGCTTCGCGGCTTGGCTGGCGGCAGGGCATAACAGCTGACGTCACGTCCGTTACAAAACATAAATAAAACATGATATAACTGAAACATGATATAACGAAGCATGTTGCTGATAACTCTATTTCTGTGATCTGACGAAGCATGTTGCGGATAATAACATGTACTTTTAGGTTAGGAATATAGTGTTCTTTTTTTTTATAATAAATATATTGTTTAGATTATTATATATTTTAAGTATTTTTAGTATTACAAAATATATATTTAAAAAAAAAAAAATTACAGACTAATAGACTAAACTAACAAACTACAGACAGATCTGCAATGCCTTGAATAACCTAGTTTATTTGATGGATAGATGGATGATCTTGGTCACGACCCTCGTACATTTTTTTCCTACCTAAGCTGATGGTAAATATCTTTTCCAGGGTTATGGTTGTATATTAAAATTAAAATATATGTAGGTATGTGTAAAATAAAAATCTTACATTTATTTCCGTTATCTGGTACCTGTAACACAAGTTCTTTACGAACTTATCACGGGACCAGTTAACGTGGCTTGATTGTTAGTAAATATTTATTTTTTATTTATTTTTTTAATTCAAGTTTGACCTTCACAGGCCAAACCACTGAGAACCTTGAGAGACCATATCAGCGTAACCTTAACTAGTAGGGGAGCTCACGGGGCTCAAACCCGACGAAGTTGCTAACAAGAACCCTAGCAAGGGCCGTGCTTCGCAGAATGTACCATCGGATCGGCAACACGACCCACTGAGTAGATCCGGCGAGAAACTCAGTGGGCTGTCTCTATGGGTTAATTCGCTCGTTGAGCCCTTCGTCGCAAGCGACGGATTCGACGAGAACGTTGACCGGGGTACCTTAAAGCACCGTTAGGATCCGAAATGACGTGTCGGCGACGATACCTAAATGTGGGGGGTACGCGGAAGCGGAGTGCGGGGAGACCCGGAACAAAACGTGAGGACAGACAGACGCGACACAGACGCGTGCGCAACACCAACATAAGCAATAAGCCGCAGACTTAATGTGAATCCAATAATAGTCTATACTAATATTATAAAGAGGAAAGATTTGTTTGTTTGTTTGTTTCGAATAGGCTCCGAAACTACTGGACCGATTTGAAAAATTCTTTTTCCATTAGAAGCCGACATTGTCCCTGATGAACATAGGCTACTTTTTTTAATTTTTTTTTTATTTATTTTTTTTGGTTTCATGTGTGTTTTAATGTTTCCGAAGCGAAGCGAGGGCGGGTCGCTAGTAAATTGTAAAAAGCAAATGCACATAATAAAAGCATAAAAATATAATTATATGATTTTGTTCAATTCCTGGACAAAAATTGGCGACCGTGACAGGACGAACGTGACCGGATTTAATATACTATCTGAAGCAACCAGCTGGACACTAAGTAAACCAGAGGACCATCATGGAGAGATTCCAACACCAGGGGA